CTACTATAATATAATCTTTATTTTCAAATATTATCAAAAAAAATTTTATTTAAATATTTTAAATTTTAAAAAAAATAGATTATAAGCAAATTTATAGTAATTTTCCAGACAAATTTGCCTGGAATTACTCTACAGTTTAAGGGATAGTATATAATTATAAAATATATGTAAAAAATAATTTTGCTTATACATTGTATACTGAACTATATATATAAATATTAATGAACTTTAATCTACTTAGGTTGTTCTTAAGCAACTCCCTTTATGGCTAATAAAATTATCTGATTGGTTGAAAAAATAAATCATATTTAATTATTTTGATCAAAAAAATCTGAACTTAATAACCATCTTTTTTTTTCATAGAGTTACTTCCGCATTTTGTACAATAAATTTCTAGCAAAATTATTATAAAGTTCATTTTAATTAATTTCAATTAATCGAAATAATTGACCAGCATCTCGATCACTAGCAAATTTTATTGATAAAACGGCTTGAGAACAACCTTAATCAGGATAGTAACTTGAACTTTAATAGTATTTTATATATGTAAAGTTAAAGAGTTGTTTTTATGTGTATTTAATAAACTAGAAAAATCAAAATACTGGGTGATTTAAAATTAAGATTCAGGTTTCTGATTTCGAATTAAATTAGTGATGTATTTATTTTTTTTTATTTTTTTATTTTTTTTATATTTTGGCTAAGTCTTGCCGTGACCAATTATCTCTACTAACCACCCCTCTACAGGGGGTGACCCCATGTCTAGTATTTCTACCATTATGAGCTCGTTCGGAATAGGCCTAACCCTACTCGGTTGCCTATTCAGGTACCTAGGACTGACCGCCTGCACTATTCTCCGAAGAGGTCGGATCACCTTATTATTGTACTGGACTTTTACCAGTCAATCTGGTGCTGCTATGAGTTTTTGTAGTATCTTTATCAGACTTGGCCTCACAGTACATCTCGTGACTTCGGTTATTCCAAATCGAGGTTCTAACACGTCTCGCTTCTTAGCCATAGCTTCTCAGGATAACTATTCCCATTTATGTCCATCCATAGATGTTCCGGTTTCCTGCATACTGCGGTGTTTCAATTCCGTATTTGAGTTTTTATAATTCTACCGCTAGGAGGAATTGAACCGGCAACCGTCCGATTTGCAACCTGGGAGCATAACTGCTATGCTATCGACCCACAGGTCCATGATGTATTTATTTCAAAATCAACAGTTTATAAATCTTTATTTATTTATTTATTTATTTTTTTAATTCAGCAGTTTTGCCAATACTGTTTATTAGATTAATGCTAAGGTATTTTGGTTACAAATATCACGAGTATATTTACAACTATCTATATATTTTACATGTATTAGCTTACCCAGTTACCAATTTAGGTACCTATGTGCGGCCTGCTATATGAGACTTTTATCTCCTTAGTAACCACCCTGTAATTAGACCAATTACTAGATCACTGGATAGTTTCCAAACCTAATTATATCATATATATCTCGCTTATATACTACTATACAACGTCTACCAACTAACTTCCACCCCTTATTACTTATCACATTACTCCTAATTCGTTTCTTGTATTACTTCCAAATTGGTGTTTTTCGAGTGGGCACTCTTCATGCTTCTAGTTTGGTGTCTCTGGGGAGCTACTCTAAGAACCTAATCCATATCTTAAGCCAGGTGCTGCCAGGTTATAAAACTCGTATCTCAAGCCACCTGCTACCGTACTAGGGTGTTATTTCACATCAATCCAAGTATTCGCGTTATACATCACCAAATTAGGCTACCGCTTCTTTTATAGTACTCCCTATTAGTATAGTATTACAGAAGTCTAGATCCTTAGAATAGAAGTTAAGTACCTCATTTAATTACTGTCACAAGCTAGTAACCCAGAACCCACACTTCTGCCATATTTTGTCATGCTCTCATAACTCCCATATAGGTTGTGTGACATATTACTTACTGGCTATCTTTATTTTTATACTACCAGAGTGCTTGCTTCCATGCTTTTTGGGGTTTCTTTTAGCCGGTTTTCCTTGTTTCCTTGTGCCAGAGGTGTTCCATATTTGGTAAAGCCATTCTCTTACCACAGCTCCTTACTATGTTCACTGCTTCTCTTACCACTTCTGGGTATATTGCATATAGCCATTCTCCTAATCAAAATCTCAATGCCACCTTAGGGTAGTTGGTGCTACCTTGCCAATCATGGATTTACATATATAGTCTTCTGCAATATTACCTTCTGTGACCCATGTCATATGCAGTGCCCAATCTTCTTTATAGCTTAGGACTCCTTCCAAGAATTCTTTATCAGCCAAATATGTACTTTATATGGTCTTATCACTACAAAGTTTCATATTCAAAAGCCCCCGAAGATTACAGAGATAATTAATTAAATTAATTACCTCTAGCTATAATTGAACTGTCGACCTCATCTGTGGAGAGTTAGACGCCTAGACCACTAGGCTACGGGACCCTAACCTCTATAAATCTTTATTTATTTTGATTTATGTTTATTTATATGATAACTATAATTAATACTTTTTATGATCATGAATTTTCTTTTAAGACTTGATATCTTTTCATACATATTTTAAAATGCCTTATATTTCTGATCGACAATTATATATTAAAAACATAAATTGTATTTTAGAAGTAATATTTTAATGATACTCATAAAAATATAGCTAATATTCTCGAGATGAACTGTTGGAAACAATTGAATTAGATTGATATCCTACTATTCGTTAAAAAACTATAAAGTTCTCTTCTTTAGTGATTTGTTTAAAAATTTTTTGAAGAAGACATGTTAATTATTGTCGTGGATGATGGTGAAATTGGATGATCGTGAAATCTGGGGCCTTAATTTAAAAATATAAACCCTACTAAAACCCATCTATACTCTTTTATTATAAACTCTAACCCTAAATCCTAATCGAAATCTAAAAAAAAAGTATAAAAAAATATACACTAAAAATTTTAAAAATCATATATTAAATAGGGTTTGATTTCACGATCATCTGATTTCACCATCATCCGTGACAATTATTAATGATTCAAAAATTTGTAGTTCTTTATTAATTTATTATGTAACATCATATAATAACAACAAATCATTAAAAAAAAGGATACTACTCTACTAACCAAGTTTACAAATCTCAATATCATTTTTAAAATTTATGACTAGATTTTCAAGATAAAAAATTTTTGAAATTCAAATTATTTATTAACAATTGATAATTAAAATCAGTAAAATCAACCAAATGCCATAATCTAGAATACAAACTAGAGAAATCAAGCTATTAGTCTAATATATACAAAAACTTAAAACTACACGATAAGTACCCATATCTGATATAAATTGTCTATAATATACTTTAAAACTTTTATTTTCTTTAATTAATAATGAATAAATCAAACAAATAGTATTTTTTAATTAAAGATGATAAGTTATAAACTAATCAGTTTTGTTAGTTAAGCACTATTTAAATTTTTTTTTTTTGCTCAATTACACTTTTAATTAGTAAATTTAATATATTTTATATATACTACTCAAATTCTTATTATATAAATTGTATTTCCAACCTGAAATAAATTTGAAATGTGATAATCTTGCTCAAATTTAGTTTCATCTTAAGAACTTATTAATTGCACTAGTGCTACAAATCAAAAATCAAAAATCACAACTAATTGATTAAAAAATTTTTGGCAACTTATATTAAAATCAAATAAAAATCGAACAAAAATTGAATAAAAATTAAATAATCGAAAAGTTGACAACTAATTGATTAGAAAATTTTTGCCAATTTGTAGCACTAAATTGCACAAGTAAGATTTTTAATTCTATCTCTAACTATTGCTTCTAAATTCGATTTCCAAATTAATATTTACTTGGCTCAAATTTAATAAATTTAATTGGTTCTAAGTTTGACATAACTGGGTTTAAGTTTTGGTTTCAAATTCCTTATTTCTAAATCCAAACTATGTACAAGTTAAATGAAAGATTTGGATCGTAACCTGAGACTTCATAACTATATATATATGTGCATATAAAAAATTAATAAAAAAACCAGATCCACAGAAACAAAATTACTTATACATGAAACTGGGTTCCTGATATATTGATTATTTATTCGGATCTGCAAGATGTATGGGTATTATTCTAAGATCTTATCAGAACTCTTTTTTTATATGTAGTATTAATTATATATACGATTTTGTATTTACTATAGACTAATGAAAGTATTTCAGTTAATATGTATAATATATACAAATAATAAAGTTTAATATTAACTTATTATATTTTTTGTATATATACTGAATATATAAATAATAAAATTTGAAATTTATCATATCAAAGTGCTAATTTTGTTATATTCTTTCAAATATTAAGTGCTACTTCAAAAAGTATTAGTCAAAATAAAAATGATGGTCAAATTCCTAAAGCTAGTAAAATTGATAGTTCCAAAGAATCTGCTAGTGATGAAAGTATTATTGAATATAGTTATAATAAAAAAAGAAAAAAAGCAAAGGTTAAAAAATTGGTTGACAGGCTTGAGAATCCTGTATATTAAACTTGGAACACGAGATAAACATGGGCATATAGCGATTAAGTATAAATATTGTGAAGAAATTACTCAATGAGGACAGCCTAGTGAAATAAAATTACACTTAGTATTAGAATGTAAAGATGTACCAGGAGATACTAAAAAAAAATATTTACATATTATAACAACTTCCAAATCTTCAAAAAAAAAGATGAAAGTTGAAATTCAATCCAAAATTACTGACAAATTTCAATCAGCCTATATAGATCAAAGTCAAGAAAATCTTATTAACAAAGCTTTAACTCGCTTCTTTACTTGTTGTGGAATTCTATTTTGAGTTGTTAAAAGTCCTTTTTTTTTAATCTACTTAAAAATTTTAACACGGGTTATAAGCCTCCTAGTTGAAGAACTTTAAGTAACCTTTGGGTTGATCAAAAAATTGCTCAAATTACAATAAATACAAATAAGTAGCTTAAATAGCTTAAAAATTTAACTTTAGGTAAATATTATATTATTGCATGGGTTTTATATAACAACTTGTGCTTTTTTCATTTACTTTGGCATGGAATTATAACTATAATTTACAGTATATACTGTATATTAATTGTATATATTAAATTAGCTCTTGACGGTTGGACAAGTGGATTACAATATTCTTATTACATATTTGTTATTATTACTCCCGACAAACATCAATATATTCATTCTGTTCAAGACTTTTCTTCTTATTCACATACTGGAAGCTTTTTATCAAATGAAATTATTAAAATAATTAAAGAAATTGGACCAAAAAAATTCAGAGCTGTGGTTTCAGATAGCACCACTACAATGCAGCTTGCAAAAAATCTCATAGCTCAAAAATATCCTCATATTATACCAATTTGTTATATTGCTTATCATATACTGTACAATTAATAGTGGCAAATATTATAAAAAAACTTCTTTTGGGTCTTAAGTTCTTTCTAAATATCAAGAATTTGTTACTTACTTTCAAAATTTGCATATACTCAGTGCTCAATTAAGAGATGAGATTAAAAATTTACTTATTAAAGGTGGTGGATTAAAGTCCTGTTAAAACTAGATAGTGTTCAGCATGGAATTGTTGTGATTCAATTTTAAAATTAGAACCTGTTTTACGAAATATAAATATTTTATTTTATTTATTTATTTATTTTTTTTTGGTATTAAGGTGACCTCTTTGGTCTGGGAACTTTTTATTAGAGTATAGACGAAGTTTTATATGTAATT